CCCTCTGCCTGTATCTGTCCCGGTATCCTATCCAGATTTCCCCTTTTTATAAGGACTCCAGGCATATTGGATTAGGGCCCACCCTAAGGTGTCATTTCAATTTGATTACCTCTGTGAAGACCTTATTTCAAAATAAGGTCACATTCAGATGTACTGAGGGTTAGGACTTCTTCATATTTGGGAGAGGGGGTTACAAATGAACCCATAACAGAAATTATTTTTCTGATGTCCAGTAGAAGGCACTCAAAATATCTGAGGGTCCAGCTCTACCAAGGTGCAGCCCCAGCCCCTGCCCCACCAGGAATGCCAGCAGTCTGTACCTTCTGCCAGGCTCTGTAGCAAATCCTTGGTGGCCACACAACTCAAAGTTCTCACGGCCCCTCTGAGGCATGGGCACTCTCAGAGACGCAGTAAGAAGCAGGCAGCTGGAAGCAATTTAGTCTCAATCTGCTCACCTGTCCTTATTTTCCTGACACATAAAGAAATAAACAATATAGTGGGGTTTTTAAAAAGTAAGAGCTAATCCTACAATGTATTGGACACCAGACAGCCAGTCTTAATTCTCTGTTGTGACCTTAAACTTCTCTGAGCCTCAGATTTCTCAGATGTGAGCTGAGGGTCTTGAGTGATCTGTGCATGATCTCCCTTCCAGCTCTAAATGCCTGTGATTAATTGACATTAAATCGACTTTCCATTTCAGAGTAGCAAATCCCCTCCTCTATTATTTAATAAATCACTGTTACACTGGACTGTATTTAATGAATCAGTCAATGTGTTTTACCAAATATCTGTTATAAACAAAACACCTAAACCTCTTTTGCAATGCATTTGAGTTAAGTGAACCCATTAGTGACTTCAGGTAAAAATCTTGAAGCATCTATGGTCAGAAATAAGGGTAGCTTTCTAACCTCTCGACTGAGCAGGGAGGGGCGGGCAGGGGTGAGAAATCGTGCAGTGCGGGTCAGCTTCTGTGCTGTGGGTAGGTGGTTATGAATCTTGCAACACGATAACTCTCACCCAGAAAACCCACCACGTAATCCAGGGCTAAGTTTCCACCCTGTCCCAGGGTTCTAACTCAAGTTGACTCTACTTCAAAGGAAGGAAAGCTTGTTTGGCCAAATACCCACGGAGCGTTGGTTTCAGGAATGTGACATGCTGTTAAACCACAGCCGTGTAAGCTTGCGGCCACTGAGATTTTCCAAGGATGAAAGTTTCACTTTTCAAAGAAAAATATGGCACCGTGAAGCTGGAGACACATAAGGTGAATGGTGTGGCTCGGCCCCAGGACTCTTTCGGTCTCAAAGAACACCTACTATGTGTGAGTCTGTTCTGGGAGGAGGGGGGCTCGTGAGACTAGGCCGTTACAAGATCCCGATGATGAGACATGGTTCCTGCCTTTGAGCCTTTTCAGGAGGCGCAGAGAAAGAACAGTGGGGTAAGTTCAGCGTCAGCACGTGGCATCTTGGAGGGCGAGGAGCACTGGCAATGTTGCAGGGTGTCACCCCAGAAGCCGGGTCAAGTGGATGGTCAGCAGGGCGCAGCTGGGGGAGGCCCACAGGGGTGCTGGAGCAGATATGGGACCGAGCTGGAAGCCCCAGGGCACCGGCCAGGAGAGACGGTCCCTAGCAATCAGCACAGGGGGCTCAGCACCGTTCTGAGGCCTCCTGGGCCCTCACCACCACATCTCTCTAGGACGTTTGGCAGCATGGTCGCTAAGGACTGCTGAACCCTGCCCGGAGAGGGGTGGGGATGTCCTGTCTCCCTAGACTGGAGTTAATTAAGCATTTCAAAGTAAAGTAGTTGTCTGAGGAACTGAATTCATACGGAATCAAACCTCAGAGAATCGCTCCAATCACCCACCTCTCCCTCCATGTCAGAATCCCCACGGCGGCTTAGTTATCCAGCTTCCGTTTGGATGCCTCCATTGACAGGGAGCTTGCTCTCTCACCAGGTAGCCCGTGTCATCACCAAAGGGCTCCAGTTGTCTCAAAAGGTTTTCCTTACATGCTGCTAAGATCTCTTTCTCACTGACTCTCCTAAGCGCACCCGCTGTCCTTCAGAACCGGTCCGTACCAGTATCTTCTGCAATAGCCCTTTATTTGAAGGCGGGACCAGAGAAACAACTCTAAACACCCCTAATTCCTCACACAGTGCTTTGGAGGGATGGCTCCTAGGCCTGGTTAAGGTCACCTGAACGCTGACTAGTATGCTCATGTCCTTTGAAAAACATGCTCCCCGATTTCCCAAAACCGAGAGCCATTTTCCAGGGATAGTGAGGGCAGAATGTGGGCAACCCTGGAAACGTGAGCCAGCTGACCTCGGAGTGCACAGTGGATGGTGGCACTTCAGGGACTGAATGATGACCCAGATCAACACAGCCCGGAGTGACGCTCGCAGAGAGGCCAGGAGCCTGACCAGGCCTGAGGCTGAGCATTTGCTAAGCCTGAAGTGGTCTGTAGCCTCTCACTGTCTGGGGTAAAGGCAGGCCCTGTGCCAGAGTCTGTGGACCCTGGATTTCATGGACACTGGTGGGGAAAACCACTGGCCCTGAGCTTGGCATAGAAGGGAGAAGCCCGCCCCCTTGTGGACCTCTGGGGGGTGGCAAGGTGTGAAAAAGCGCCCCAAAACCTCTCCGGAGACTAGAAATCTGGGGGAGTAGCCGCTCCCTGTCCCTGCTCCCATTTTACCAGTTGCCTCTGGTGGCCTGCGAGAGAACTGATCTCGACTGTCACAGGGCAGGGGAATGGTGGCAGGGGATATAAAGGGAAGTTAGGAGGTGGAGACTCCTGGGTCTAGTTGTCCAGCTACAGAAAGCTGGAGCGAAATTAGGCAGGATATTAGCTGTCGAAAAAAAGAAAGGGGTGGGAGGAGCAGCAGGAGGTCTTTCCTAGTTCTGCCACTCCCTGGGTGGCCCCAGGCAAATCACAGTCCCTCTCTGGGCCTCTGAGGAATGAGCTAGGTGAAGGCTACAATCCCTCTGAAGGCAAATTATAGACCCAGCTGAAGGTTTTCACATGCCAGTCCTGACAATGGTCGGTCACTGGTGGCACCACACCCCTGACTGAGGAGAACAGGGGATGAGAGGTGGCCAGGGCAAAGTGCACATGTGGAAGGGAGGCAGCAGGCACCAGTTTCACCAGCTTGGCAGATCCACCCGTCCCTGCAATGTGCCCTTGCGTCACTGTGCCATGCCCCTGGGAGTTCCAAGGAGTCATTCATCAGAGTCTCCCCTCCTTCTGCAACTTTGGCCAAGTCTAACTCTAGTGCCATGACCTCCTCCTGAAACGCTTCCCCACTGGAGGTGCCTGTGCCATAAAACATACTTGCCCCAGAGAGATGTGACCCAGGCCATTTAATATGCAATAGGACAGCCCACGAGCATTGATTCTGCCTCACACTCTAAACTGCCTTTACTCAGCACTAAGCACATTAACAAAGATTATATTTTTATCTTATTTTTGACATAAATTCTGCACTGCACTGTAATCAGTGAGTGTAATTGGGCTTAATGTAGCCCTGAGAAATGCAAACCAGAGCACTTTCCTCAAAGCTTTCCAGATAAAAAATAAAGTTGGATTTTTAAAATTGAATTATATGCTAAAATGGCTCAAATTTCTTTCTACTCTCTGCTCATAGAGACAGGCGGTCATGGAGTCACCAAAAACGTTTGGAAAGGCAACTTTCTGGTAAAATGAAAAGTATTAAAACCCTTAAAAACTGGCCTTGTTAAATTATCTGAAATAACGTCCTTGGGCCAGTGAGCTCCTGGCTGGAAAGATCCAGGGGGACCGTTATTGGGGGAGGGGTCATCTCTGCACCACACAGTACACAAAAGCTTGGGCTGAAGCAAAATATGCCCGTAATTTCTCATTTTTTAAAAAGGTTATTATAGGCACTATAAGTTGTTATGTAAACACCCCTTAAAAATCAAAGGACTCCAACAATAAGTACAATCTAAGTTCTACCTAAAAAACTCAAGTCAGGTAGAACATGTAACTCTAATCGTAGACAGGCCCTTTCAAACACCTATTTAGACCACCCAGTTTCTGCAGCATTGCCAAATCCTAAAATTGTAATGAAAATTTTAAAGTCCAAAACCTACAAGCCATCAGAGGTTCAGTAAGCAGATTGTGCCATTTCAAAACTGAAAATGTGCTTGCATAAGCAAGTCACAGGGGCTAACCTTTCTGGATGGAGTCTGGCCTTCAGCTCAGAACATGGCTATGCCAGGGTCAGAAATGTGACAAAACTGTGCTTTCACGGAGGTTAGCCAAGGTTCACAGGGTCATGACTGGGCCATTTTATCAGTCATGTCAGGCTCACACCCTATTGCCCAGCACAGATAAAAACTTTATCTGTCAGTTTGCTAAATCTAGTCCTCCTGCCTTATTTTCAATAAAGAAAACCTGGACTCACTTATCTAAACCAGAGACTGGCCTTTCCCGGTACTGTTTTCATGGAAACTTCTCAGTAAAGGAAACACACCAGGGATTTGGGGGGTCTCACTTTAGTCAATAACTGTCCATAACTGGAGTGACTGACTGTCTTTGTCTCACCTAAAATCTTGACTTCAGGAAACCACTTGGTGATGCGTGACAACATGGACATATATGTTTACTAAACATAATAAGTTTATGGCTGAAGGTGTTATATTAGAATCTCAAAGCGTTATCTTTTCAAAGTCATCTTTCCCTAAAGTAAAACAAGCCCCCCAAATATCTAAAATTAACTTTGATAGAGCTTTCAAATAGGGGACCTAAATTACCATAGAAAAATTTACAAAGTTACCTTTGGACTAACACACACACACATCCACATATGTATTTTCTAATAACTGTTAAGAGAAAAAACAGCTCAAGTTTCTTCCTCACAGAAAGTAGATACACACAGATGACAAATAAAGCCATGAGTGTAGACATTTAGAAACCCGGTTAAATATAATAAGTACAAATATTAAACCAATGAGTTTTCCCACACAGGAATCTTAAATAGAAGACAAGCACCTTCAAATTTTACTTTATTTGGGAACTATACAAAATTCATTATTTTAATATTTAAAGACTGTGGTACTGTAGTAGAGACACATAAATATTATAATATACATTTAGAAATTAAATACAATAAAATCAAAATGACACTATGTAAAAACTCATATGTACATTTCCAATAAGTCCGAGGTCTAGGCATCCATGCCCATCAGATTTCCCCCTGGAAACGGGTGAACCTTGCAGGGAGATCGTCCACAGGGTACACCGTGGGACTGGTTTTCATTGTAGGAGGTCCATTTAGAAGCCTCCAGTCACAATGCCTGGCCAGCTCCACTGTAAATATTTTGAGAAGAATTTTTGCAAACTCTTTTCCTACACAGCTCCTCAGGCCTCCTCCAAATGGAATGAAGCTGAACCTGGATGCGTCCTCAGGGTGCGGGAGCATGAATCGGTCAGGGTTAAACTCCTCCTTGTTGGTGAAGATGTCTGCCACAGCGTGAGTGTCACAGATACTGTAGATAACATTCCAGCCCTTGGGAATCTGGTATCCCTGCAAAAGATTATGAAGTCCCGAAGGCTGACAAACTGGAATCTAACTTTCAACAACAAAAAGCTATGGCAGATATGTGTGAGGGGGTTATGAGTTAAAAGAAAGGGTGGGAGGGAGAGACAGACAGACATTCAGGTTGCTGAAATGTGTCCACATGGGGCAGGGCACTGTTATCAAAAGCATTAAGGGGTTTAAGACAATGCACAGGGAAGCAAAGGCAGATTTAAAACCACAACAAAAGGGGAGGAGAGAACTTTAAACTTACATTTAATTCAAAAGTCTTAAGGGCAACCCGAAACCCTCCTGGAACTGGGGGGTTCAGTCGAAGGGTCTCTTTAATAACACACCCAACGTATTTAAGCTGTTCCAAAGTTTCCATGTCCAACTTGTTGTCTTGATTGCTCTTGCAAAGTAAACCCTATCAAAACAGTCATACAGAGGTGAACGGTTATTTTGTGCTCCAATAAAATCAGCCCAGCAGACGTAGTAAACAGGGCTTAAGTGGAGACTAGACCCAAAGGGCCCCATGACGGAAAAGGGTGAGGTGGGAAACACTGAGCAGCTAGTGATCATCTCCTCCACCCCTCAGCCCAAACCCACCATCTCTTTGCAATTCCAAGAGAATGGCGCTCACCAGTTAGCACCACCAAGCCTCTTCCCCACCCCCACAACCACCACCTGCAGCCACCCAACCAGAAGTCTCCTAAGTCATGCCCTTGAACACACAAATCCAAGACAGTGGAACCTATCTGAAAATCTCCAAGGTTCTGCAAGAGGTGGGGACAGGGGAGGAGCACAAGGTCAAACCCTGCCTGAGTGGGACCACGGCTCCAGATGCCTCCCTTTTGGTCCACAAGGGGAATTGTTTCCCGACTGGGCTCACCCGCCCCTGGGCCCCGCATTTTAAAATACTCGGCCAAGGCTGCACACTTACTTATTGGGAAGTTAGCTAGGGAGCAGCGGGGTTTCCTAAAGCAACAGGGAACCCCCAGAGTCCCCTACCTTACTCTTCAGCTCCTCGCGCACTTTCTGGAGAACATGAGGGTAGAGCCCCAGGTAAGTGATCAGAGACGTGGCTGCGCTGGCCGTGGTTTCATGTCCTCCAAAGAGGAGCTCGGTTGAAGATTGTTTTAGGGCCTGAAAGGGGAATAAGATGAACGTTTTTATGAGTCTGCGTGTCGTTTTACAGAGGGATTAATTACTCAGGACCCAACTGAGGGTTCTGGAGGAGAGAACTGTCTGAGTTCTGCTGACAGAAAGGCAAGGAAAGCACCTTTTAAAAACAACAACAACAAAAAAAACCACGCAACGTTCCATCATTTCAGCTGAAGCAGGAGGGCCAGTAAAATCCCACTCCACCCGGAACTCCTGAATTAAAGTCTTAATTGTATTAAACTCGCCCAAGATTCTTTATTTACATCTGGCCAATTCCAACTTTAACACCTGGAAGGTGGCGCGCCCTGCCCGGCCGCAGCCCCTTCCCCGCTCTCCTCCCCGGTGTCTCCACTCCCCGCATCCCACCGCGGGGGGCTCCCAGGCAGCCCCCTCCGGGAGGCTGGGCCCCAGGCCAGCGCTTTGGGGGCCCCAGGAATGGCACTGGGAACACCGGCAGCCCGAGCCCGCGGGCAGCGCCCCTCCGAAGCCGCCTCACCTGCATGTCCAGCCTCTCCCCCCGCTCCCACGAGTGCTCGATCAGCAGCTGCAGCGCGTCTTTGTAGCCGGCGCCCGCCTCGGCCGCCCGCAGCCCGCAGATCTTGGCGCGAATGTTCTCCTCGATGCGCTCGTGGATGAGGTTCCGCGCCTTCACGCCCTGCGCGCGGAGAGCGCCCCCGGTGAGCCCGCGCCGGGCGCCGCGCCCCCTCT